TCAGCTGGGAACAATAGCAACTCAGCTCATAAAAATCATTAGAAGGAACATTTCCTTTGTCTACCGTGCCTAGCAATTTCACTGGTTGGCAACAATTCAGATCACTTAGATTCCACCTTAAAAAAATGAGTTCAGAAAACCTTCTCAACATTTCCAGCTAATAAATTATTCTAACAGAATTCTAATTTCCTAATACGCTTAACTCTACCATAAATGAAATATTAGCTCCTAACTCATAGAATATTTTTTGGCAAGTACATGATACTGATCTGGTGTTAACAGGATATGCTCTTCGGGTTGCCTTTCCATTCATTAGGAGGGAGGTGTGATGCGGACCCATTTACTGCCATCAAACCCTCTTTGTAGCAAGAGGCCTTATTGCAGGTGACTGCTGAGCAAAGTGCACAGTGCCTGCGGACGGCGTGTTCCCACTGGGTGAGATGAGTTGCCTGCTTGGGTATTTAACTCTCACCACAGCCTCTGTAGTTTGTCAGAAGTGGGCTGGGTCAGAGTAACTTGACAGTTTCAACATTAAGGGTCTGACTAATTAATCTTCTCCTGCAAATGTCATTGAAGTACCTTAAGCTAATTTCCAAATGTGTTTAAGATATGTCATTAAAAGCTCTTTTCTATGTTCGAGGTTTCTCATGAGAACCAAAGTATTCCTGTACTTGGACAAAATGTGTTATTTCAAATGACCCTGCTGGAGCATAAGCATGTCTCAAAAGTATCAAGAAAAAAGTTAAGGATCTTTTTTTCTATTTAGTTTGAGCATACTATACATTTTAAGAATGAATTTATTTTCTATCTTTACTGCATGATGTAGTAAGTGCACAATATTTGCTGAATGACTAAAACGCATTTCAAACCAAATAAAGGAAATGGTTTGAGGACTAAATAAAACACTGTCTTCCACAACTGACACACCTTTTCCTTAATAACTTCCCTCCACTTTTGACTTCATGCTGGAGATCGGCACCACCAACTACAGTCTTAAATGGCATTCTGGGTTCCCCTTTAATTAACTGTCCATTTGACTTACACTTTCTCTGGAATCTGAGCAGTAATTATTTTATTTAAAGGTCTTTCCTGCTCCCTCGGATTGCATCTAAGATATAAAAATAAACAGAAGCTGCAATATCAACAAAAAACTTAAGACAAACATGCAATGACAGCAAATATGGAAAAGCAATCTTTACTAAAGATGGATAACCATTCAAATAAGCCATTACAGATAATAAGGAGTTGAGGGTGGGTCACTGTTTAAGATCCAGTTTTGCAAAGACACTGCCATTTAGAAAATAACTGGTGAATTGATATGTACTTAAAATAGCAGTCATATCATCTGAAACTGCTTCAGCTAGTTGTACTTAAAATTCTACAATCCTGACTTTTTTAAAACAATGCCTTAAGTGATTTAACTGGGGCAGGGAGGAGACCCAAATCCTGCCTTGCTACATAGTAAAGATGACGACTAATTATTTCACAATCCTCTACATCCTCTGCCTTTGAAATCTAGGTAGGCTCTAGGACTGTCAGAAGAACTAACTGTGTTCAGACCCACACTGAGTTTGCAGCTTCCACTTCCTGTCTCTTTGGACCACTTTCTTTGTAACCCAGCTGCCATCGTGTGATGACACTCAGCCTCTGGAGAAGACTCTGGAGACAAACTGAGGTTTCCAGTCAAGAGCCAGTACTAACGTGATGTGGCTCCTGCCCCAGTACAGGCTGCATGAAACAGAGATGAGCTGGCCCCACCATGTGCTCCCAAACTGCAGATTCAAGAGTGAGAAAAATGATTACTAGAACACACCTCAAACTCTAATTCAAGGTATTCTAAGATTTAACTTTCAAGGAGCAGTGAAAGAAGTAATAATTATTTATTTTGAACATTTGCTATGTGACTAAATGTTTCATACATCCTTATTCCCTGCAACAACCTTATTAGGATTAGTATCTCCTTTTTATAGATGAGGCAATTATAGACATTGCCTAAGATCATGTAATAGGAGGATAATATTAAAAACCAGATCTAACTCCAAGGCACATGCTTAGCAGGAAAATGGGAATGAAAGAAATTCCAAGCTAATGCTTGGTACTCCAATCCTCACACAGTATGAATTAGAAAATGTCAAAAGGTATGTCCTGAGGGTGCCCCAATATTGCTGAGCATAACTTTCAAAACTAGCACTAACAATTTTTGTAGTATTCAGAAAACATTTTCTGAGCATTTACAAGTTTATGATGTCTACTAAGTACAAGAGTTCCACACAAGAGGTTACAAAGATTAATGACATCGTTTTTGCTCTTACACTTTAAGTGGAGAAATAAGCCATGTTACACATGATACCAAGATAGAAGTACTGCACAATGAAGGATAAAATGTTATGGAAAATTTTATATTCATAACAAAATAGAGTTGTAAGTACAAAGAGATCCTACAAATGCCATCTCCCCCCACTGAATACCCACAACCTATCCCATTATCAATCTCCTATACCGAATCAGTACATTTGTTATAATCAATGAGCTACATTGATACAGCATTCAATGTTCACAGTTTACATTAAGGTGTACAATCTATAGATTTGGACAAATGTCTACAAACATGTATTCATCATTATAGTATCATACAGAATAATTTCTGTGCCCTAAAAATCCTCTGTGCTTTGCCTATTCACTCCTCCCTCCCCCTTAACCCTTGACAACAACCAATCCTTTTACTGTCTCCATAATTTTGCCTTTCCTAGAATGTCATATAATTGAAATCGCACAGTAGGCCTTTATATTGGTTCCTTTCATTAAGGAAGATGCATTTAGGTTTCCATGTTTCTTTATGGCTTGGTAGCTTATTTCTTTTCAGTGCTGAATAATATTCCATTATCTGGGTGCACCACTGTTTATTTATCCACTCACCAAATGAAGGGCACCTTGGTTGCTTCCAAGTTTTAGTAAGAGTGAATAAAGTTGCTATAAACATCTGTGAAAAGGGCTTTGTGTGGATATAAATTTTTAATTCCTTTGACTAAATACCAAGCAGTACAACTGCTAGATTGCTATGTTAAAAGTATGTTTAATTTTGTATGAAACTGCCAAAAACTGTCTTCCAAAGTGGCTGTACTATTTTGTGTTTCCATATTATTATATTAGAGTTCCTGTTGCTCCACATTACTAAAAAAAAAAAGAAACAATGGTATGGGAATTTATTCATTCATTCAACAAATATTTACTGGGTGCCAATGTAGCAGTAGACAAGATAGATATGGTCCCTGCTCCCAGAGAGCTGATTACATTACTTTCACTGGAAGCACAAGAAAAGGAGGGGCACATTAGCTTGACCTTCAATGATCTCTACGCTTTGAGCATGTGAAGATCTGAGGATAGGAAGGGCACTTGAGGTAGAGATAGTAACGAGCAGAAAAATGAAAACCACTAAAGCACAATAAAATTAGGACATGGAAGGAGACTTTAAAGCAAGAACAATATTTTACTAACTCTAAAATTCAATCAATTTTAAGTTAGGCCATTATTTTATATGCCCAGAGAAAAAACATTTATACCATGGCCCTCAAATAGGGACAATTTTGCCTTCCAAGGGACATTTGGCAATGTCTATAAACATTTTTAGTTGTCACAAGTGAGTGGGTGCTACTGGCCTTTAGTAGGCACAGGCATGCATGTTGCCAGTCATCCTACATTGCACAGGAGAGCTCCCACAAAAAGGAATTGTTCAACTCAATACTGATAATATTGCCAACACTGAAAACTCTCCAACTAAGGGAGACAATAAAGTGATAGATGCATCTAGAATATTAAAAAGTATTTTAAAACCCTGGCAGGTGTAGCTCAGTGGATTGAGCATGGGCCTGCGAACCCCACGATCACGGTTTGATTCCCAGTCAGGGCACATGCCTGCTGGGTTGCAGGCCAGTTCCCAGCAGGGGACAGACAGCAGGCAAGCATACATTGATATTTCTCTCCTTCTCTCCTTCCCTTCCTCTCTAGAGATAAATAAATAAATACAATCTTTTTTTTTTAAGTATTTTAAGATAGATGAAGTAAGTTCAGTTTACTGGGGATGAACCCAGAATTTGTAAAGTGGTACTGGAAAATAATGCTGGCACTCTGTTATTGGAATCTGCTTGCTCACCCTTGAAATAGTAAAGTGATGATGACCAGGGGCTGTTTTCAGAAAATAATTTAATCACTTTTAATTACAGTAATTAATACCCCACTTCTGCTATTCTAACTGCTCTCAGAAGAAACACAGACTCACCAATCACATGCTCTCTCTCTTACTGTTGTTAAAGCCCAGCTCTATGCCACTTACCCTATGAAGTTCCCCCAATGCTCTCAATTCAAAATATTCCTTTTTTCTTTCGAATTTCTTCAGCATATAATCTCTACACCCCTACTAGTATTTATGTGATTTATCTTTCTTTTAAATATAAGTTCCTTTGGGTCAGGATCCACAACTGGCTCATATCTATAACTCTCAGACGGGCCACTATAGCACCTTCCACATTTGAAGTGGTCAATAAATATTTGGAATGAGTAATTGAATAAATATACAGTATTGAAGACTGTAATTAAATACAAACTCCTCAGACTTCTCATAGCTCTTTTCAGCTTTTCCTCATAGGGCTCATTTTGCAAATTTTTAATCATTTTATTAGCTTTCCAAGCTCTCATGCTTCAGCTATAGGGTCTGAGAGAGCAGAGTTCTCCAATAAATCCTAACTATTACTTTAGAAAACACCATTTTGTAAATTCCATTAAGTTTCTGATCATTTCCCCATTGGATGGCAGTCAGTGTTTGGTCTCAAAACATTTCCCCATTGGATGGCAGTCAGTGTTTGGTCTCAAAACATTTAAAAGCCCTTTACAGAGGCAGCATACTAAATTCTTCCAAGGAAACGGGGACAATGTGAGTATAAACATGGGGTGTGGGGAGCGGCAAAAGTCGGTTTCCAGTTGTTCATATGGAAGAGACATACAGGTTCTTATTGACTACAACAGCTTTATTAACGCAAAAGAATGTCACAATGCAACTGAAATGCCCGCCCCTGTACAAGCAGTGAAAATGTTTCTACTCATTGCTCACAAACACCAATGACATTACTGATGATGATACTTTTGGGATACTTTTGTGTGGGGGAAGAGGGTATGGAGGGTTTAAAACTAACAGAACAGAAATATTAAAAGGTATGACTATCATAGAGAAAGTAAGAAAATAAAAAAAATCTGTTATAAAAATGTAAAGTATTCCTTTAAAAGATAATAAGCAGAGAGATTGTTAATCTTTTATTATACCACTTAAGAGAGAATAAATTATTTATCATTAGCACATGTATGAAAATTATGACACTGGTGGTTTTGATTAAATTTGCTAGACTTTGTTTTTAACCACCCCCCCTGCTTTTTCCCTTCAGAGCAGTCCTTGAGCATCAATCAATGTTTGGAGGTTTCTTCTAGCAAGTCTTTTGCTTCATTTATTTTGGTTGCTAAGTATGGAGAGCCACCTGAGAACAAAGAAAAACAAGTGTGTTAAAACACACTTTATTAATGATATTTTTAAAAGTCTCAAAGTAAAACACTCTTATAGTTCTGATATTTTTTCTGCACATTCATCCTCAAACATTGCACTGATAAGACATTACCATTCAAATATTTAACCAGCGAATTTTCTAGTGGATGGTTAAGTAAATAAAATGATGGTCCTTCTCCAGGACATTTTTTTAAGAGGGAAGACTATCTTTTAAAGGATATCTCTCTGAAGAAAGTAAAAAAATCCGAGGGCTTTTTCAGAGTCTAATTAAACAAAAACAAAATACATGTTAGAAAGGTAACTATGTATTTCCCAGTTCTAAAAATCATATTTACTAATACAGATGAGCAAACTAATAAATGAATGATAATAAGAATTTAAATAAAATTCTCCCTGTCCTCTGAGATGAACCTATTAGAATACTTACGAAACACAGCCTTACATTCACTATGCCCTAAAATAAAATCAAATCAGTTCTTTCTTAGAATTCTTTAAAATGAATTCTTTCTTATGCAAACAACAAGAGAAAAATTGACGTGAATTTCAAATTCAGAATCATTATAAATCACAAACAGAACCTACTTGACATACAAAAACACTATTGTCACATAAAACCTATTTAAGCATCATATGCCTTCTAATGTCTAGGCCTGAACACTTTCATTGCTTAACAGTCAACCTAACAATCGCATTACAGTTCACCAGTTTGTGTTTGTTTTTATTTTTGTATTCTCCCCTTGAGTACAAATCAAAAAATATACAAATAGTATTGGCCCAAACTGTCCTGACTTTATTCAAGCCTTCTATTGATTAAGGAAAAAGAAAGAAGGCAAAACAGATCAACAAACATGGTACTATAGCAAAAAGGCAATGTGGAAGGAAGCTATATTTAGCTTTTCACCCTTTAGTATACCAGTGACATTTTCACATCAAGATCTGAATTGCTAAACTTATGGAGTATATCAGAGTGTCCTTCAATGTACAAAAAGAATTACAGATGAAGTTGATGAAATTTTCATACATACTTGATTATGAAACAAACTGATTTCATGATTATGTTTAAAAATAATCTTGGAATTAGGCTAATGTCAATTTTGATAGGCTGTTTAAATTTTTAGAGCTACCAAGGTAATGCAAGGCATGTTGTATGTCCTCAGTAAAAATTAAAATATTAAACACAACCTTTAATTGATTGATATGCATTCTGGATATTTTAAATCACAGGCTATAATATGCTCATTTAGAAGAAAAAACAAAGCAAAAGCAAGGAAGACTGAAAAACCTCAGCAAACATTGTATTTACTGATGGCAATGTTAGAGGGATGGACACGGAGCTTCTAATTGATGTTCACAGTAGGAACTTTGACTTGGCTCTCATTCTACCCTCCTAAGCCAAAAATTGTAATTTCTATATTCCATTCAAGTAGTGTTTGATTCAAATTGTGAAATTTGAAAGGCTGAAGTGAGGAAAAGACTTTCTTGCTGGGTCTCTGTTACTGCTGCTAGCAAGAGAGACTGTGGTGAGCAGTGGCAGCCACTGTGCCGTTGTACAGCTCTAGTGGAAATCTATGAGGTGGTGTCTTCACTGACAGAGCAGCTTGCTTGGGGAGTCATTCTTATAGGCCTAGTCTAGAATTTACTCCTCAGACCTTCCAACAATGTGTAACCACTAATTACCTGTACTAAATGCTCCCCTGCCCAAGACACATAGTTTGTGATATGGAATCTTGACTGATATAAGATACATATCCTATATTAAATGGGAAAAACATATGCTTGAATCTTTCAATCCTGCTCAAATTTATTTTTTAAATATATTGTATGGATTATGCCATTACAGTTGTCCCACTCCCCCCCTTTATTCCCCTCCACCCTGCAAACTCCCTCCCCCACCATTCCCCCCTTTAGTTCATGTCCATGTGTCACAAGTTCTTTAGATTCTATATTTCCCATACTATTCTTGCCCTCCCCCCAGTCTATTTTCTACCTACCATCTATGCTACTTATTCTCTGTACCTTCTCCCCCCTCTCCTCCTCCCACTCCCCTGTTGCTAACCCTCCATGTGATCTCTATTTCTATGGTTCTGCTCCTGATCTAGCTGTCCTCTGAGTTTGCTTTTGTTTTAGGTGTGGTTGTTAATAACTGTGAGTTCGCTGTCCTTTCACCGTTCACATTTTTTATCTTCTTTTTGTTAGATAAGTCCCTTTAACATTTCATATAATAAGGGCTTGGTGATGATGAACTCCTTGAATTTGATCTTATCTGAGAAGCACTTTATCTGTCCTTCCATTCTAAATGAAATTTTTGTTGGATAGAGTAATCTTGCTTGTAGGTCTTTGGATTTCATGACTTGGAATACCTCTTTCCAGCCTCTTCTTGCCTGTAAGGTCTCTTTTGAGAAATCAGCTGACAGTCTGATGGGAACTTCTGACTGTCCCTTTATCTCTTGCTGCTTCTAGGATTCTCTCCTTCATTTTATTCTTGGCTAATGTAATTATGATGTACCTTGGTGTGTTCCTTCTTGGGTCCAACTTCTTTGGGACTCTCTGAGCTTCCTGGATTTCCTGGACGTGTATTTCCTTTGCCAGATTGGGGAAGTTCTCCTTTATTATTTGTTCAAATAAGTTTTCCACTTGTTGCTCTTCCTCTTCCCCTTCTGGTACCCCTATAATTCAGACATTGGAACATTTAAAGATGTCCTGGAGGTTCCTAAGCCTCTCCTCATTTCTTTGAATTCTTATTTCTTCATTCTTTTCTGTTTGGTCATTTTTTTCTTCCTTCTGGTCCACTCCCTTGATTTGAGTCCCAGTGTCTTTTCCATCACTATTGGTTTCCTATGCATTTCTCTTCATTTCAATTAGTTTAGCCTTCATTTGTTCCTCTAATTTGTGACTAAAATCAGCCAGTTCAGTGAGCATCCTGATCACCAGTGTTTTGAACTGTGCATCCGATAGGTTGGCTATCTCTTGATCATTTAGAAGTATTGGCTCTGGGGCTTTGAGTTGTTCTTTTTCTTGAGCCATAATGTTTTGGTCTGTTCAAGCTTGTTATGTATGAGGGGCTGAGCCTTAGATGTTCACCAGGGCAGGGCGACCCAGTGGCTGGGTTGTGATGCTGTACATGTGGGTGGGGTCAGAGAGGGGCAATGGTGTTTGTTCTGTTCTCTCTCGGATTTTGGTCCCCTTTGCTGCTTCCCCCAAGCAAATTGGGCCCTTCTGGTGCTAGTTCCCGGATGTGTGGGCTTGTGCATCCTCCAGGACCCTGTGGGTCTCTCCAACAAACTCTCTGTGAGCCTAGGAGCTTCTCCTGGCACCTCGACCTGAAAATTTTTCCAATCAGTGCTTTTAGGCTTTAATTCCTAGGGCTGGGGCCCTAGCCTGAGTGGTCTGTCTCACTGCTTGCTCCTTCGCCTGGTTTATCTGCTCTCGAATGTGTGACTGCAGTCAGCCAGCTGCCTTGTGCCCCCACACCTGGAATCTGCCAACCACTGCCTGGGTCGGTCAGGCCGATTTTTCCTGCCCGACCCCACTCTGCCAGCTGCTGACTCTGCTCCTCTTAACTGTCTGGATGATCGGTTCATTGTTGTCGGACTTCCGTATAGTTCAATTTTCTGTGTTTTGGCTGCGTTTTTGTTACTAAAACTTTTTTGTCTTTAAACTTGGTTCTGCAAGGAAGCACAATGTTTCCACCTACGCCTCCATCTTGGCTGGAAGTCCTGCTCAATTTTCTTGTGGGAATCACCCAGATCCCATTTTATTAGGATACTCACCCTCACCCTTGACCTCTGTACCACTTGCACCTCCACTAAATACTGCTGAAGCTTTTTTGCTTTTGGCAATCATGAACTATCATATTTTAGACCAATCCTCCTACTGAAACCAACTAGAAGAGTTGAACAAAATACAAACACATCAATATGAAAGAATAGGGTCTACCAAGTCAGCCAACTCTTGAGGATTAAGATCCTGAAGGTAAGGAAAATCCATTGTGATGAAGCCAACATTCTGTACTGCTTTTTCCCTTCAAAGAAGCCAAATACCAGCCAAGATCTACTATACAATTCCACTTATATAAAATGCTAGAAAAGAGATATGTAATCTATGGTGGCAGAAAGTAGAACAACAATTATGCAAATTGGGGTAGGGGCTAGCAATGGGAAGGAACACAAGAGAACTTTTTTGAGTTCTGATAAGCCAATATTTTGTTTTTGTATATATGTATATCTTGTGAGATTTTTCTTCATCAGGGCTTGTAACCAAAGATATGCTATCCCCATAAAAAAATCAAAATGTCTTCTCTTTTTCTTCTCTCTCTTTTAAGAAATTCATTTATAAAACTATCCTGGCCAATGTTTTTATTTATTAGGAAGGTGTTTAACTACAGATTAAATTTCTCAAATAGAATTCTTTGAAATGTTTTTCCTAGAATTTATTTCTTCTAAATTTTGAATGTTTTAGTATGAAGCTGATTTTTTTTTTTTCTTAGCAAACTAACCTTTGACTATGTTGGTTCTTTTGAATGCTAATTTCTATTGTGGTATTTTCTTTGATGCATGGGTTATTTAGAAGTATACTGATAAATTTCCAAACACTGAGATCCCTTTGATGTGTTTATTGTTTTCTAATTTAATTAGGTTTATGTCAGAAATCCAGGATTGGCCTTAATATCAGAAAATTTATCAAAGTGATTCATCACATTAACAGAATAAAGAATAAATGTCATATAATCGTCCCAACAGATGCAGAAAATTCAATGCAAATTCATAATAAAAAACTTTAAGTAAACCAAAAATAAAACCATGTCATCGAAGTTATCAAAGAACATAGCAAACATTATACTTAACAGTAAAATGTTGAAACCTTTGGCTCTGAGATCAGCAACAAGGACAGGATATCTACTATCATCATTTTATTTAACACTATTAAGGGTTCTAGACAATGAATGCCCTCCTCTATCCCCAATAAAAAAAGAGT